CGCCAGAATGCGACCGTGTCGGCCTGATTTGGTGCTGGGCCCGTTCCACTAACCATTGGTCGCTCCAATGACTTATAGAGCCTCTTCTGATCACTCTGAAAGAGACGATTCTGGTTGAACCGGGTCGACCTCCTGGTATATCGCCGCATCCGCTTTCCCCAAGCAGCGATTCTTTGCTTCACAAACTAACATTTGTCCCAGCAAATGCCATCCTGACGGTGCGCACAATCCTTGGCCTGGTATTGCCTGACCTGAAGCATACCAGTCTGCCAATGAGGGCCCTAGCCTTTGCGATACGTTCTTCAATTCTTATTCTCCAGGCTGGTATAGCACTTCTTTGTCCAGTAGCACATCCAGCCGTGGAAAGTTTGGCACCTATAATACGGCAGTCTGCCAGTGCGGCGCCAAAAAGAATTGAGTCCGTCTCGCAAAGGTCCCGGCTGGCTTCCAAATAGGTAACCAGCATTGGGTTCAGAGCCCTCACGACAGCCCGATTCCGCTTGCTTAGGGCTATTCGGGGAAGTCGCGGTCGATTTTCGAGAGGCGTACTGCGCGTTTCCACAATCGCCTCTTCCAATGTACTCCTCATTTGCTCTAGTTCCAGTTCCTGGGCGACTGTTCCATCATCGTTTGAATCAACCACAACTGGGGTATTCACGGCGGCATCCAGGTTTGACGTTTGCTCAGCAAGTTGTGGCGTCGCATCCTCAGCCGCAGCATTTTCACCCGATGGAGGAACAGCCTCACGTCGTAGCCGTTCGAGTTCGGTGATATCAAATGTATTTGAGCGCAAGATATACCAAACTCGGTCTGCCAGGTTTTGCTCGGTGACGGTTACAGATGGCTCCAGCTCAGCAAAAAGTCGATGCATCCTTGCCCGATACGCAAAACCTCCAGTTTCTCCCCCTTTCGCACTAAAATACGCCCGCAATGCGTTGCTGTTAATCTGGGTTGTCCAACGCATGCGGCGTACTCCACTACTGGCGGGTGCCGATTGCTGGGTCAGCGAAGACCCTGCCGACACCAAGCCAGCTGGTGGGGATGATGGATGCGAGGGGCTGCTGGGTGGTCGTGCAGCACTTCGCGCTCGGCTGGCGGTTCACATGCTGTCGCATCCAGCGCCAGCTCCAGACGCGCCCTGGCGACCTCCAGGCAGTGGCCCTTTGTGCGTTCTATTTAATTCCATCATCCATTTTTGAGGGCGTCATTTAGCGGGAGACGCCCAGACCCGGCGCCGTTTCATGGTGAGGCCATGTGCACAAGCGGGCCTTTGTACCTACAATTTTTGCCGAGGCACGGCACTAACACCTCTTGGCAAGGTGCTGACTGACTGCGCTAATGTAGCGGTTTTGTCACATAACCGTTACGTCAGCGGGCGATGGGGTCGTCACTTCCCTACACCATTCAATTTTAATACATTATTATCAATTCTTTATTGTTTTTAATTACCTATACTTCTGGCGGCCCGCCATCAGTTCGTAATTTGCCCGAGTGGCCCCTAGTCTTAGTAAGTCTGTGCATCACTGCTCAAAATCTGTCTTGAAAAGATTGAATCAAAATATCTAGCTTTTCTACATAACTGAAATTAATCGCAGTTTTGTTGAATTTTTCAGCCATTTTCTTATAATTCGGAAAATGATTGTAATTTCCAGAATTCAATTGCGATCTGAAAAGTGTCAGCTTACATTGAAAGGATGATACATGAGCGTAGAGCTGGGATATCAGTTGATTTTTGCCTTGAAGCCGAGTGTTCAAGACATTCAAATGATTTGTAATATCAACTAAAAAGCCGAATCACACAACCAATCAGGATTTTAAGTTCCGGGACATCCCTTTGCTTTTCCGCCAGAAATATTCCAATTTCTTCTATTAAATTTAGAAATCGTTCCAGTTTCAATCCACGACTTAGCCACCTTACCTCTGTATAATACAGTAAATCTCCATATTCGTTTTCGAAGTCATCAAGGAATTCTTTGAATTGCCTGTGATTGAGTCCTCATGATTTTATGAAATTTACAGTCGAAACTACCACTTTCATGACATTTTGAAATTCAATTTTTTTAGAACAGAGGGCTTATTGGTGTATAATGCAGTGAAACTGTATGAGATATTCAGCGTTTATGTTTTTTTCTTGCAGATGCTTTTTCAGCAAAGTAACTAGCCCAGAATTGACACCAATCATCGAAGGAGCACCGTCAGTCGCAACTCCCAATAATTTTGATAAGTCCAAATCAGTTTTTGAACACTTATCCAAAAGTACATTGAGTATATCAACTCCTCTGGTTTGACCTTTCAATGAACACATTCCTAATAACTCTTCAAAGACTTCAAAATATTGAGTAACACCTCTATGAATATCAGAAGTTGAGCTGTGGAACTAATATCAGTAGATTCGTCGAGTTCTAACGAAAAAATTCAATGATCTTAGTTTTTTCATTTAATTGTTCCGCAATGTTACCTGACAAAGACATAATTCGTCTTTGGATAGTCATACGATTCAGTTGAATTTTCTCAAACTTTTTTGCTGCTTCCGGACACATTTTCTTAGCGGCAATTTCTATGCATTCTTTTACAAAATCCCCATCATTGAAGGGGCGACTTCGCTTTGCTATCATTCGAGAAATTTCATAACTAACTTCTGTAGCTGTTTCTGAATCTTGAATGGGGTTTGTAAACATAGCTTGCTGACCAATAAGCTCCCGTTTTAAAGACAAATTTTTTTGCTTTCTTAATTCGCCTGTAAACTTGGTAAAAGTAGGATGCTGCGTTTCATAGTGCCTTTTTACATTATATTCCTTTGCAATCGCAACAGAATTCTTGCAAATTAAACAAACGATTTGTTTTTGTTTTGCGACCATATAAAAAGTATTTCTCAGTCCAAATTTCTTGAAACTGCCGATTTTCATCTTTAACCTTACGTTTTTACTAAGTCTTGGCTTTTCCATGTTGCATTCTAATCCTGGCTAGGATTAACCCAGCACCTAAAAATAATTACAGTACCCACTTAAATTACCCATCCTTTTTTAAATTACCAAAAATAATTGATTAAATAGGTAGGGAAACACTTATTAATAACAGATTTTTACTTACGATTTCACTACACAATTATACACGGCACTTGACGGGAAATCTACGTTGAAGTGGATCAAAATATACGACACCGGCTAGTCGAGTTAAAATCTACACTAGAACTATTGACACTTCACTCAAATTAAAACCGAACTGTCGGTCGCTACGGTTAGCGTGGCTTTTATACCGCGCGTATAGAGTCGAAAACTGTCTGGACTGTCTGACTCTGGAAGCTTCGCGTATCTACCTACGTGAGCAATCGGGAATTTTGGACTATTGCTATCTCGCTTGCTCTAACAAAATAACCCGTGGATAAGCCTCCACCGAACTACCGTCGTCGCCGCGGCGCCGGCCGCGGTGGTTCCTCAAGAAAACGAATTTAACCGAGATCAGCACGAACATTACCGACCGCTGTTACCGACACATGCACGGCGCACCGATAAGCGCACTTAAGAGCGCGCGCGCGCGAGATTCAAATTACTTTTCGAACATATATTTTTTTGGTTTTATTCTGGAATATAATTAAATATTTTTCGAACGTACCAGAGTATTTTTTTTTTGCTGTCGGCGGGTCACCAGTATTCAACCCGCGGGCCGCATGCGCCCCGCGGGCCGCGGTCTGTGCATCTATGTTTTTGAGAGTCATTACGAATTGTTTTGTAAGCAGACCAGACGACTTTCAGACGCCCGAACAAGTCGGTTTCCGAAAAGACTTTAGCACCATAGACCATATACATAATCGTTGGCAAATTGTACAGAAGACCGAGGAGTATAATCTACTACTACATATATGTTGCGTATGTGAACTACAAGAAAGCCTTTGATTCCGTCGATATTGGGGCATTGCTACAGTTTCTTCAGCGGAGTCAAGTTGACTGTCGGTATATCGAAGTGCTGAAATGTTTGTACAGTAAGGCTATGATTGCTTTTTGAGTGCAAAATGAAATTTACCCTGTTTTGCACCTCTCTATCCAACTGCAGAGGTGTAAGACAGGGTGACGTTATATCTCCGAAACTCTTCACCGCTGCATTGGAAGGCGTTTTTAAGCTACTGGACTCGAAAGGATACGGTATTAATATCAATGGCGAGTACATCACTCACCTTCGATTTGCTGACGATATTGTTCTTACGGCAGAATTGCTGGAGGATCTAAACACTATGTTTAATGACCTCAATAGTGCCTCCCAACGGATAGGTCTTAAGATTTACATGGACAAAAGAAAGATCATCCATGTCACACCTATGCGTGTAGTTGTTGGGAGCACTAAGCTCGATATTGTTGATGAGTATGTTTGCCTGGGACAAACAGTCCGACTAGGTAGGTCCAACTTCAAGTGAGAGTGAGATGGATCTTAGACGTGGTCCTTTACTGCTGGCTATGTGAGGAAGCTTAAAGTTGCTCAGTGAGCTATAGAGAAAGCTATACTCGGGGTTACTCTACGTGATCAACTTAGAAATGAGGATATCGGCAGTAGAGTGACTGACATAACCCAACGGATTAGTAATTTGAAGTGGCAATGGGCCAGCCATATAGCTTGATGAATCAACAACCGATACGGAAAAAAGTTGTCGATTGGCAGCCTTGTACCTTTGGGCCAAGTATAGGGCTACCCCCACTAGATGAAGTGAACGAACGTAAAAGATGGAGTGAACTGGTAAGGCATGCAGGGAGTTTAATGCAGGATGCGGATGCAGGTGGCAAAGGACCGTGCTTCGCGGTATTCCTTTGGTGAGGACTCTATTCAGCAGTGAACTTGTCAAGCGCTGTAATTGATGAGATGTTATTTTATTGTTTGTTGTACTACTCCATACACTTATATCAAATAATTAAATAAAGGCCTTACACGCATTTATACTTGTATGATATTACTTACGTACTTATACTATACAAGCGTAATTTTTCAAATTATACCAATAATCAGATTCTCACCATACGTAACGACTTCAGTAGTTTTACTAGCAGTGCCAAGTTTGTTAATAGCTTCACATGTATAACTTCCTGCGGTGGACATCGTAGCTTCAAAACTGCAAAGTTAAATCACTTATTTAAATAATTAGGGCTAGGCTAGTGATAAGCTTTTCGTTAGCAAAGATTATAGTGCTTATTAAAAGCTTGAGCTTCATCATCGCGTAGGATATAAGTTAAGCGTTGGCGCATAAAGGTAAAAAATACTTTTCATTTCGAAATCATTAAAAAAGGTTAGTAATATTTTTTGTATGGTTGATACTGATTACAGTATTATCGCTTTAGTACTACTGCAAGTACGCAAAACAAATTAATGCAAAGTAGTGAAATGCAATATTTAAATACTCCGAAAATATTTTAAACCATTTCCACATATAATAAAAAAGATATGGTTCAACACTGTGCTTTTAACATATTTACAATATGTTTATATATGATTTAAATTGCTACTATTAATACACCTTACAAGAACAGTAATAAAAAAACGCTTTGAAAACCTTAAAGTATTGTCTCGATAAATTTGTTGATGTAGGGACTTCTTAATCAAGGCTCCATTAAAAGTCCATTTCACTTCTGGTTTAGGAACTCCATCAACTTCACATAATATTCTTATTCTTTCACCTTCACGAGCGTTTACAAATTTTCGTCCATATTTTATTGTTGGTGGGTCTAGAATAATATAATTGATATTATGGAACATATTTCCCTGGAACTGGATTTCCTTGTTATCCCAAATAGGTATGACAGCATATATTATCATTTTCAATTAGAGTTTTGATTTAAAATACTGTTAAGAGCCAGTTTTCACTTTTCAAGAGGTACTACGGCTAATATACGAGTATATTATCATCAAAAATCTTGGGCACATAAAAATACTTCTCATAAGGAAGCAAGTAGAAATTATAATTATTTGTTTTAATCTCTTTTTCATTAGCTTGTAAATTTGCAGGGCTAGACCCCGTTAGGGCAAAATGCTTAAATTGGCAGGCGCTTGGTCTCACAGTTTTGACGTCGCTGCCAACGCTAGTTTAGGTATTTTACGTCCGATTCAAAATGAGGTGTCTATAACGCTATCGGACGCTATTTATTGACAATCATAAGATATTATTTCTAGCATTTCGCAAATACATCGCCTCATAAAGTCGAGGCATAGGACTCAAATAATGAAATTATGGTAATGGATCCACTTACTCCGCGGTCACATGACCGTCGAAATTTTTTTAAAAAACTGTTGTTAACAGAATAACCTATACTTACATTCAACTATTAAGTCGATTTGATGACTATCTTTTCCAATAATATTAGACGCCTCACATTTATATGTGCCCGCATGGCTAGCATCTGTTTTCTCTATATGATGGGTATCTGATTCTTCACTGATTTCAGTAAACACTTTTTCAAATAGTTTTTTGAATGACCAACGAACCAAAGGTTGTGGTATGCCTTCGATTACACTGTTTTAAAATAAATTATAATTATTACTGTGACTTACTATTATACATTAGAAAATAAATAACATTATTTCTTACCTACAAATAATATCGACGTTTTGTCCACTTTTTACATTTACATCAGTAGTAGTTTTGTCAATTTTGGGCAAAGCTGAAAATTCCAATTCAATTTAATGCAACACTTCATTTTGTAATAAATTGGGGACTTTCTCATCAATAGTATTATTTTAAAAGCAATAATTATTTAACACACCTGTACCAGACATAGAAAGGTTAATGAAGAAAATTTTCCTATGAAATTTATTTCTTACTTCGCAAGTATATTTGCCTTCGTATTTTGGTTGCATTGTATTTATAGTGAGAACAGATCCATCAGACGATTTTTCTATATCATCATTTTCTTTCATTTCTTCTCCATTGTGGTACCATATAACATGTGACGGTGGATCAGAATCAATTAAGCAGTATAATTTACCATTGTATTCATAATCTATACTCGTATCTAAAAATAATTTATTTTAATATTCAATTAATATTTGTTAGCTAAGTAAGTTCAATCCTGGTTTAGTTTATAGCCAGACAGTAAAATATAAAATAGTAATACAGAAAGCACGCAAGCTAATGCTACCTTTATATCGATTGTAGTAAAATAGTGTTTGTAGTAGAGTTTAGTTATAAAATAACTTTTATCAACCTACATTATCATCATATATCAATGAATAATTCTTTTTTATTTTTTATAGAAGAGGGGGCAAACGAGCATGCGGCTCACCTGATGTTAAGTGTCTACCGCCGCCCATGATCAACCGCAACACCAGGGGAATTACAGGTGTGTTGCCGGCCCTTTAGTAAGGATTAAGCTCTTTTCTTGAAGGTCCCCAGTACGTACCGGTCCGGAAAAATCGCCGGTGGTAAACTATTCCACAGAGAGGTTGTACGCGGAAGAAAACTCCTTTTGAAACGTACAGTGGTGGACCGCCAAGCATCCAGATGGTGTGGATGGTATCGGGACGTTTGCCGCGTAGTGCGTTCACAAAATTTGGCGGCTGGGATTAATCCGAACAATTATAAAAAAATATGCTTCATTATTTAAAATTACTTACCTTCTGAAACATTTAAGATTATGAACTTGGTAACTGCCTCTACGGTAACTGATTTCTTGTCCTCGCCATAGTCATTAACGGCTCGACATTCATATGTAGTATTTGTCGTTACTTTTTCTAAATTGAGAACACTTATGTAGTCATAAGGTAGATCAACTGCGGCATACTGAAATTTAAATATCATGATAAATAGTTATAATAACATGAATAGTGAATACTTCTTAGTAAAAAGAAAGATAGTATAGGATGTATAATTTTCAAAATAGAACTGGTGAATAATGGTCTGCAATAATAATAAATGTTAAGCGCTTTAAAAACAGTTCTCAATATATTAAAATGAATAAAAATTAAATCAATAATAATACACAAAAGTAAAAGCCTATATACGTTCCTCGGTATATAGGCTTTTACAAAACCCTTCATATTTCTTAGAGAACCTTTCAGAAAGGACTAATCAGTCAGAGTAATCAGCTTGTATACAATCGTATACAAAAATTCTTTATAATTTGTGTCAGTCAAGTATTGCAGTGTGTATATTACACCAACTAGTACATACTTTTTTTTACCTCCTTAAAGCTCAAACACTATCAGAATACCTAAACATAATTCTCGAGTCATAACGTCTGAAATGTGGCCTCACTGATTAACTTCAAAATTACTTAGAAATTATAAATTTGGCTTCATTAGGCGCATATAAAAAAAAAAAACGGAATACTACAAATTTTCGATATTCGATTTTGACAAAGCTATCTGTGCGGTTAGTTTCAACAACTGTTAGCCTGGAGTTAACCTGGTCGATATTTAAGTCTTATAGTTTATTTTTTTTAAACGGGTACAAGAGCAAATAAACTTAATAATTTGTGAAGATAGTTAATTCATCCGTAGAATCGAGTTTTGATGTGTTTTAAAAATAAATATTAAAAAAGCAATCAATTTTTCTCTAATCAATCAAAGAACGTTTTTGATTTGACAAAAAAAATCAATATTTCAATATTTATTACTTTTTATAAGGCCGGGGAAAAGGTTTCTTTGTTTTTAATATACAAATTCAACACTTTTTATTTTTCAAAGTTAACTACGTATAATTAATAATTTAAACTTAATTAATCACACTTAACACTTTAGTTCACTTTATTTCGCTCCAAATTCTTCGCTTGTGTCGCCAATTCAATACTGCTCCGGTCGGTCCTAAATGCCTTTATATAGGACCTTTTCCACTGAAATATCGTGAATATTCGAGCACATACCGGACCCAATCTACTTTGATCGACTAAGCGAAGTAAGTTCTCTCCTAGTTCTGCCACTCGATACTAGGTGGTGCTGGAGGTGAAAAGTTCTAGCATGGCATTTGATATTAGATGGCACTAGCAGCATTTACCAGCATCAACTATGGCACGCAACGACATATATGTGCCATTTTGTACGATAACTTGTTGTCATTTTGTGACATAATAAGTACCGTTGCTATTGAAATCTTAGGATTTTTAATTTAAAAAAATGCGACTAGTAATTTTGACAGCCCTCTTTTGATGGTAACCTAACACTTCCCAAAAAATTCTGAAGAGACCGAAACAGGTGAAAATCAGAGGATGCACGGTTAGAACTATATGGTGGATGCATTAACATTTCCAAACCAAGGTCTCTCAATTTTTGCTAACTGGTCAAATAGGTCTAGCGTTATCATGATGAAAGAACAATCGTTTTCTTTTGATCAACTCCAGCGGTTTTTTTTTCAATTTCTTGTATGATCTTTCATTAGCGGTCTCTTTAGCTGTTGGCAGTAGAGATCCGGATCGATGGTTTTGGCCGGCCTTAAAAGCTCATAATAAACTATGTCCTTTCAATCCCACCATACACACAACATCACTTTATTGAATGTTAATCCGGCTACAGTCTCTAGAGCTTGGCTATCCTTTGACTATGATCTTTTTTGCACGTTCTTATCGTAGGTGATCCACTTTTCATCACCACTGATCAATCTTTTCAAAAACGGTTTGGTTATATTGCGATTCAATAGAGAATCGTAAACGAGTACACGATTTATTAGGTTTCTTACAGTGAGCTTGTGTGGTATCCAAATATCGGACTTTTTTGTATAGCCGAAATTTATCCGATGGGTCAAAACTGTTTTGTGGTCAATCCTCAATTCCAACTTTGTGCTACTCTTAATGACGTTGAATTAGGTCCATAAACGTCACAAACTTTTTCGCGGCTTGAATCGATTTTTTCCCTTTTTTGTAATAAAATTTCAGAATGTATCGAATTTCTTCGTTAGATTCATTCATTTTGGTGGACAGAAAAACAATTGAAAATGGCGGGAAAGTGTTTTTTACTATTCATTTTTCTTTTTTTTTTTTAATGTTCTACATGTATTGATATTAAAACCAGACAGATACAAACAGTACAACTAAAGAGATTTTTCTTAAATTTTATACAAATAAAATACGAAGAAACTTTTTCCTCGACCTTACTGTTTTTGAAACCATAATAGAACTTTTACTACTTTGTACGATGTCTTACTTAATCACACTATTGTTTGAAGAGAAATAAGCAAGTACAACACTTTAAATATTGTGAACGATTCCTATAGTATACTCGTCATGTTTGTATACAATAATATATAAAAACAAATAAGTAAATTTGTTAACAAGGCAATTGGCCTGCTGTCATTTCTGTGCGGCTGCTCCACATTGAGCATTCTGATCATTATGTACTACGTACTAGAGGCGACACTGCATTTAGTTACGCTGTACCATTCAATTGTGTCTTTAGCGCCGCACTTTACTCAGTTACTCGCTAGGCGTTAGTAAGTTGACACGTGTCAATTAATTAAATAAAAAAAATCTCGATACAATATGCCTCAGTGTCTTTTTAGATACTGCACAAATAATTCCAGTAATGTTAGCAAATATCAAGGAATAACTTTTTGTCGGTTAATAAGATACTTAATCAATAAAAATATATTATAGATTACTTAATAACAAATTAAATTGCTCCTAAGACGAAATCTCGTGTCATGGAATATAGACTATGAAATTAATTTGTACAGATGCGACATTTCTAAGGGTACTTAAGTATAGGACGAATATATTATTATACACAATTTTAGTTGCCCGTGTCCAGCATTTATGAGCGACTCTTATTCTAATTTAAATAAATATAGTTGTAATTTAAATGACATATTAATAAGTTTTCTTAAACATACATTTAGTAGGTTTTTTATATTTGACATAGTTACCTTTTAAAATATTCAGATAAAAATATCATTAAAATGTAATTGAGATATAATATTATGTAATATTATATTAAATAAGCAAATATAATATACAAAATAAATGACAAAATTTAAAAATTATACTCGATATAATTTACCTATTTACCAATACAATCTACTATTACCTACTAATCATTCTACCTATGTTTATTCTATGATAAAAAACCAACCGCTCGAAAACAGAGTAGCGCACATTTTTTGTTTGAAATAGCTGTTCTGGTACGTAAGCACATATCACTTGTATGGTGCTCCATTACATGTTGGCGGATTCCATCTGCTCCATATGCATAATTAGCAGTTTAAATTGCAATTAACAGTTTCATTTGTTCCGTTACGGAGCAAACCCCGGTTGCTTTCGTACTGTAAAATTAACTGCTAGCGCTCATCCTCTTGGTTCCAATATTCAACACGTCTATCAGTAGTGCTGCTACATGATTCCACCATCCCATAATCAATATCGAACAAAGTAAAATAATAAGATTTAATCATTAGTATTATAACAAAACTACTATTTTGATTTTAGTTAGGTATATGAAATTGAAAAACGCTCTTACCACTGAAGGCAGTGTGACTCCAGTTTTCTCATCTGTCCAAGTGACAATTGGCTGTGGGTATCCATTAACCTTGCACTGCAGCTGCAATGTGTTGCCGTATTTTAATTTTCTAGTATTTTCTCCTTCTATAGTAACAGTAGCGGCTCTATTAACTGTTTTGTCTAAAATGTTGAAATCATGTTTTGTATAAATAATTCTTTAAAATACTCGTACTGGTGAGCACTGTGTAAGACGAGTCATTGGATTATGTTGTTTCGGAATCGTACTTTGTGACAATATGTAGAAAGGTCAATGTTCAGTAACACAAATATCTGAGAAATTGAAAATATTTAGGGAACAAGGTGTGAATTTTGAGCATTAACAATTTTTGAGCATAACAACATAATAATAAATAACATTAATGAAAGAAGGTCCAACCTAGATTATCCTGAGCACAGGCTAAATAGTAAAACGTATGTAATGAGTTGTCGATTTACTTTTAGGTAAAATTTTTACTGCATGCAATTGGCTGAGGTGGTTATTACTATTTTGCTATGTTAATCAAACGAATTCTCAACAGGAATATATATTATATGATCAAACGAACTTCTCTAAGTGAAGTTCGATCAGTATTATATGAATCGCTTCATTCGAAGATATAATATTAACAACGTAGTTTCCTTATTCTACAAGGCTAAGTCGCACCTTTAAAGATTTTTACTCTACCCACATCAAAAACAATTGCCCCCCTCCCACCAACGTCTCTCGCCGTCCGAGCGTACAGCCTCATTCTTTTAGAGATATTATTCTAAGCAAAACTTTTTGTGGGTTATGGGTGGGAGGGAAATTATATCTTCGAATGAAGCGATTCATATAATACTGATCGAACTTCACTTAGAGAAGTTCGTTTGATCATATATTATATTTCATCGCTTCATTCTTCAGATATAATATTAACAACGTAGATGTTTAGAGATTAAAGTTTTGCTTATTGGGTTACTTATGTGTACTTTGAACTTTAAGAGAAAAATCATAAAAAAAATATCATTTATTAGTTCGATTGTAACAAAATAACGTACAATTATTCACTTGTCTGTCTTATTTAATAAATCAAATTTAATTTTTTATGGACAGTACTCGCAAACTTATTTTTGTCAATAATCATGCGATGATAAAATTTTGCAAAGGTCTCTGATACTGACGACCAACCGGCTGTTTTTTTTTTTTTGATCGTATCTAGAGAGATTCCGGCGGATCTAGCAGTCGAGGTGACAGCATGGCGGGTGCTGTGTGCACTAAACACAGTCACGTCCACGACTTTCTCCGCTAATACTTTCTTAATCCACCTGCTGATAGATTGAGCAGTGGCCGCCTTGTGTGGCCGCCCGTAGGTTAGCAATAAGTACCGACAATCTGCGAGTCTGATTTTATTTGTAATCTCTAAATAATCTTTTATTTCCGTGGCTGGACAAATATTTTTAATTTTAATAAAATTAGGCAAAATTAGAAGGGGTAGCTGATGTCCCGCTGCAGATGTTTTAATTATATTAGTGATGCTGATTCTAACATCTATCTGAACGTATCTTAATATTGTCTATCTTTATTAAAGATAATGTTTGAGCTCAGTGTGTTGTGCATAATTCCATTAATACTGCAAATTTTTTGTGAGTTTTTCAATTGAAAGTGTTTCATTGGGAACCCAATCTCGAATATGATTTAATATAATTTTTGGATCCCAAGTAACAGTATATTTTGAAAGGGCTGGTCTTAACTTGAATGCGCCCTTTAAGAAATTTTTTATTTGGTATTTAGAACCTAGTCGTCAGCAGTCTCCTAGAATTAATGATAAGGCTGACCTGTGGTTATTGAGCGAACATTGACGGTATAGAATTTGCTTAAGGATCTAAATTATTTTTATGACAAAATTGCCACCACAGCTTATACGAGACGCTATACTGAAGTATTGTATTCTTCGAAAGCGATGCCATCATCACGTGAAGAGTGGATGATGGAGTACCTCTTCTTACTACTGAGAGCCTCGCTGCACCCAGAGTAAGTTGCTAGCGCAGGTGATGAGGAGTTCTGGAAGAAGACCGTAAGAGAGCTCTCTGAGGTTTGAAAAACATTATATCTGATCTGAGTACCTAAGTAATTTAACATTGGGTACCAAGGTTGGGATGGCCAATAAAGAAAGACCAAAATGCCTTCGGCTTTATCGCTTATGATTTTTTTTCAGACATTTGATTAGATTTAATTATTTAAAGAAAAAGGTGGAAACGCATAGAAATATTTGTATCTCCAATCAATAGTGAAAGCAACTACTAATAAGGCGTCTAGATCCGGTCTCCAAGATACATAGGTCATGCATTTAACATTGGCACGAGAAGCGAAAAGATCCATATCTGGTTCCCCCAATTTTTGTATGATCTCTTTATAAGCGTTATCACTTAGCTCCCATCCTGTATTTAGGTTTAGTCTCCTTTATTCTTGGTCTGCTTCTACATTTTCTTTACTATTTATTTAAGATGCGTGTGGCCAAATGTTTCGCTTCTCGCACCATTACCATATTGATTGAGATAACTCGTTCAAATGGGGGAATTGGATTCCTCCCATTCGATTGATATAACTTATAGCTATTGTATTATCTACGCGCAAAATATTACAATCCGACATATACCTAAGAAAACATTTAATACCTAGAAATATGGCTAGTAATTCTAGGAAATTGATAATATAATAGTCGAGTTCATTGTATGTCCATCCTCCGCCAGCACGAATATTATTACAAAAAGCACCCCAACCTATCAAGCACGCGTCTGTAAATATCTCATAATTAAATTTAGTTATACTAAACGAATTTTTGGTTAAAAATACATATCTCTTTTCACTATTATAAATCTGGTAAGATATGTTTTGAAAGTTGAAATTTTTTATTATACGTCTTATATTTTTGAAGCGCAATATTTTACCGCATATTTTACCGCAGGACAAGCGGCCGTGAAAACACCTATTAAATGAGCTAAATCTTTGATCGAACAACTAGTTAAGAAAGAGAACCTTTGTACTTATTGAGCTATATGATTTTGTTTATCTATGAGTAGACTTATAGAAAGTTCCGTGGAATCAAAAATAAATCCCAAATATTTGCAAGATATATGCTGGCCTAGACAGAACCTATTATAATTAATAACAAAACAACATTGTAAAAGATGCACAGTCACGTTAACGTTGTCTAAACATTCATTGTAGTCTTTACCTATACTAAGAATGTCGTCAAGATATATGACAGACTTATATCCCCTGCTTCTTAAGTTGGTTATTATCTCTTTCATTATCTACTAAATATTCTAGGAGCAACGGACAGGCCATACGGCATGGCATTTAATTCATAAAGGGTTAAACTAAATTTTCATTTTCAAATTCAAATCTTAAAAATTTGTGATGACTCGACAATAGACACCACACTAGTAAGTAAACCGCCCGTAGGTCAATGGTAGCCATGTAACCATTACGAGGTATTAACTTTGAGGCCGTTTTCTAATCCTCCATTTTAAAGTGAGATTTGCAATGAACTTATTAAGGGACTTTAAATTCAGAATAAATCTTTTATCTCCGTTAGGTTTTGGCGCTAAGAAAACTGAGGATATGAACTTGTTCTTTGACCGATAACACTTTGATAATGCTGCTAAGTGTAATAAATTACTAATAGCTACAGAAATGTATTATTTATCTTTTGATAACAAAGTTGAATGATGTAATCTACATTGAGTAGTTTGTATATTTAATGGTATTGTAAATCCGTCCCGAATCCATCTTAAAATAATTTTATTTTTTGTTAATTTAAGCCAACAGTCATAAAAATATTGTAATCTTCCCGAATGTACCTGTTTTACAGCTGAACTGGAGCACGGTAAGATTTGTTGTTACTCCAAGACCTCGTTTGTGGATACACCCTTTTTCTGTGAGCGTGACGGGCCTCGCCAGCTTCCCTGGTAACGATTGTCTCTTGAAGACGAATTTGTTATCTGTGATGTTTGAAACCTTGTTTTTCAATGGCTTTTGACGCCTTAATCTTATCAGGAAGCTCAATGACAAAAAGAGTTTCATCTCTTTCAATCTCTTGAATGACTTTAAGAAAACACTTGTCTAAAGACATGGTTAGAAAGTTCCGTGGAATCAAAAAATAATCCGGGTGTCACCAATTTAATTCTGGTTTTGGGTCTCAGAGTGATGGAGGTTGGATAATGTACGGCAAGCATCAGATAAAATTTTTATCGCTTGAACTTTATTGTTTCCGATGAGAAGTAAAGACATAGCTCTATTAACGGTAGTAATACCTAAGCCCAGTCTTTTTTGATCGATCTCTATTTTCTTGTCTCTATTTCGGGCTGCATCGGTAAGTGCCGCTGCAATCTCGGGATTTAGCGTAGGTGCTCTCAAAAGCTTGCAATTTTCGGGAATTAAGTACTCTTTTAACAAGTTTTGGCTTGTTTCCTTAGTAAGACCCTTACGTAGAAGAGGAAGCCAACGGTGGGCAAGATCCTGGTGGACATTTTCACGGTATATTTGCTCATCACTATCCGTATCACCCAAAGCTGACAATAGTTCAGGGTCTAATGTAGGAATTGTTTGCTCCTCGGAGAGAATGGATATTACCATGGTGTCATCATTTACGACCTTATTACTGTCCTTAGTTTCGTTATTTACAACACGAAATAAAGTGTATATTTCGGAGGTATATAACAAAAAATTGTGATAAAATTATCCCAACTTTAAACTTAAAACTGACGCTTTAACATATTTGTACATGAGTATTTAAGTTTAAATAACCTTCGTGCTAACTCTCGGCTAGCCCCCCGGTTAGGATACCTTCGTACTGACTCTCGGCCAGTCCCCAGGTAAATTTGTATTCGTGTTGATTCACGATCAACGCTAGGGTTTTTAGTCTTAACGTATATTTTTAATGATCACTCAGGCACTAGAATCGAATTACTTAACGGTAACACTTACCAAAATTTTCTTCGGCCTCAAAAGAATCGGAGTAAACAATGACTAGTTTATGTTGCTTTCGTTCTTGTTCTTCCAGTTTTTTGATTTTCTTTTGAACCAATTTTTCTGCAGCACCTGTCAATATTTTACTTTTCTAAGATAATTAAATAAGGTGTGCACTCTGCCTCGCACGAAAAAGGAATGAGGCTGTACGCTCGGACGGCGAGAGACGTTAGTGGGAGGGGGCAATTGTTTTTGATGTGGGTAGAGTAAAAATCTTTAAAGGTGCGACTTAGCCTTGTAGAATAAGGAAACTACGTTGTTAATATTATATCTGAAGAATGAAGCGATGAAATATATTTTGGAAACTATAAGCCTGTGGGTTATTTAGTACAGATGTAGTATCTTATAGAAGGCGTCAATTTCATATTTGTACCAGGAGTATAATCATCAGACCAAAGACGTAAATCAGTATCGAATATATAAACATTTCGAAGTCTGATTTTGAAACCGGTGTCAAGCGTCTCGATAATAGTACAACAACGTCAGCTGGTTGTATGATTGTTAACAATATTAAAAAAAATAGAAAATCTCTCACCAAGTAAAAGTTTTTGTGGTTCAATAGGCGTTAAGGAAACTCTTCTAATTGGTGCATTTGTCTTCGTGTTATAGCCCTCTACCTGTAATGTTATTTATATGATTTTAAAAATCTATTTTCGTTTCAGCTTTAAAGAAAAAATTGGTAAATCATACTCACCACGATCCTAAACATGCTGTTAGGTGATACTATTTGTTCGGTCACGTAAAAATCTTTATCAACATTATATAAAGGTTGTTTAAAAATAATTTTATCATCCATGTCCAATATTTCCACTGATTTAAGCCTCACATCATTATCTTTATTTGACAATTCTATGGATAAATACGATTTCTTATCTGAAATATTAAATACTTTCATAAATCTCGACGGTTAAATATACGGAAATATAAAGTTGATGGTGATACCACCAGTGGTGTAAAGCGCAAGTATGATGTTCCTGTTTATCAAAGTCGACGCTGTAATGAAGGATTGCAGATCGATTTTGTTTGTCAGTTTAAAAAATAATTATATAAAAAAAGGTAATCCTAAATGTAATCTGAGATTCTAATTACTTATATTATAAACATATATTATGTTTTATGTTTATGTTATGTTATAAACATTCATCTTGGCTTTGGTAGGACCGCTGGTCAAACCCCCTGTACATATAAAAATACTTACATATTTAACATAATTTGGTGATACATAATATGTTAGAAATTCACGAACATTTAGTATCTCTTCCCTTATTTATTTACTTATACTTCTTCATTTCAATCCTTTTTATTTTAACTTCATTTATTTCATACTTACAGATTTGGACAACGATTAATTACTTTTCATTAGCGTTTTTATAGCATTTCAGCTATTCATTAAATATTTGTGTCATTTCTTTAACACTACGGTTAGACGGCTTGCGTAGATACACGATTAAGAAAATGACCAATATTATCTTATTTCTTGTTTACATATGTATATAGCAATTCAGCTCGTGTGATTTCTTGTGTAGATGTACCATCACTTATTATTTTTACATTATTACTTTCACATGCATGGATCGCGTACATACATGATCAAAATAATAGATAATGTTCCTATACAATTCTTAATATTCTTATTTCCCTCATACATTAAAACTCATTCCGCATTTCATCGCATCTGAGAAATCTTAATACCTGAACCTGATTGAATGTGGATATGTTCTCCTCCGACAATTTTCTTTACCTATGTCACTCACATCTACATACACTATCAATACTTGCAATCATTTATTACATAAATATTTGTACAAAATTTACTCACGTCTTTTAGAAATTAATATCATATACTAAATGTGCTTGCGACTTCATCCGCGTATAATTAGAAATATTTATTTGCACTTTAAATCATATCGTGATAACGAACCACTATAATTTTTATATATTATTTTAAAACTGAATAGTTTCATGAAAATTACTTTTAATCTATCGTTTTAAATTTTTGCCATACTGAATAAGATACTTTTTAATGTTTAATAGTGTGTTATCATCTATATCATTGTTGTGTTGTGTTTGAATGCAAAAATACGACCACAAGAACGCCGGAAAAGTTATGGATTCAAGTGCCAAATGATTTAAATATAAGAAATACTTGGTTAAAACTGGCAACAAGATATCCGAATACATTATCTACAAAAACCAGACTATTCTTCTGTGAAGATCATTTTGATGTAATTATGACTTATATTTAACTGTCGTTTATACAAAACAAAACATCATAAGGTGAAGCGTATCGTAAGTCAATTTTTGTAATAAATTACGTTAGCTAGATATTATAACTAGTGATTGTAATTATAGATAAACTGAACTATGATAGCTACTAAACTATGTTTATCAAAATGCACTCTGACCTGGTATTGTGTTTTTGTATAAACAAAAGTTGGTAATAAGTACTTACATTGATGTTTTAACATTCCTCAACTCAGTAGAAGAAAAATTAGAATTGGATGGAAAAAATTTTGTCACCTTCAATTTTTTTTATAAAAGAGGGAGTAAACAAGCATGCGGCTCACTTGATGTTAAGTGACCACCGCCGCCCATGATCAACCGCAACACCAGGGGAATTGCAGGTGCGTTGCCAGCCCTGAAGAAAGAACCCGCCCCCAAGGGTAGGATGCAAAGAAAGACGCATCCCATCCCAATCGGCTGACCTATAGTGCCAAACACGGCGGCAGCCTGCAGAATGCAACTGCGATTTCAGCGTGAGTGTTATTATATTAATTTATTTATCCTTGGTAGATAAGTACTTTCTACTTTTACGAACTCGTCTTCTATGATGCATTTCGATAAAATTCGGAATAAAACTCAACAATCGTAAATTGAAAATTTTCGAAATAACACAGCACATTAGCTAGTTCTCTTAATCAGTGACACAGATCACTAATACCCTTAGAAGGGATCAGTGACGTCACGACAGTCTCTAATATGGTGGACAGCGTTTTGCAAATGTGAGGCATAGACGAAAAAATATTCTTAAAATTGAAATATAATATGTATGGTGCAATTTTATAAGTAGAAATTAATATTTCTCGTTTACTTTTTGCAATATCTATCATAAATATATATTTTTTGATTTTTTTTACATGGTGTATAATACCCTATTGTTGATGGAACTTGGTTATTTGAAGAAATCTATTATTTGTTGTATAGAAACCAAGTGTTGACTAGAGAAATTCGGAAGCAAATTGTGGATTAGATTATTGCGGTTATTTTGTTGTTTATTTACAATATGAATCACAAGCTTATAGTTTTCCCAATTCGTTTCTTGGTTGATTTGCTGGTCTATCCATTACTTCGCTTGTGAGTTTGTCTATTTGTTCGTTAGTTTGTTTGTCTGATTGATTGACTAACTGAATATTTTTATCCAGATTAGTGTCTTTCTAGATCTTAGCGACAGTTAAAAGCACAAATAAATTAACGACAATTATAATAACAATTAGTACTAGTTCTACGCGAAAGAAGTCGTAGGCACAGCTAGTTTTAAATAAATATTTTTAAGCCTTATTTGTTTTTAAGTTAGTTCCACGTGTCCATGATAAACATTAACCACTTACCATCAAACGGTCTGTAAGTTCATTTATCACTATGGGTTTTATAAAAAAGTAAACAATATCAACCTACCGGAAATAGGTCTTGTCACAGTGTCTTTTATTGTAGTAGGCTTAAAAGCTGAAAAACCATGTTGAAAGCTTAGTGTTGTTGCTCCAGTTACAACTGCTTTAGTTTCACTCTCACTTCCAACTTTGACGGTATGAACTCCCAGCTCTGCATCCGGAACTTTAACAACCTTTAAAAATAATAATAATAAATATATTTTTTTAATTATTATTTATTCAAATTCTTCACTAACGCCGCAAAGAGGCATATCTCAATTTTTAAAAACTTACGAAACTTACTATCTTTTTTCATCAGAAAGTTAATCGTATCTATAGTTTTCCATTAAATGTAATATTTTTAATTTTCTGATAAAAAAAGTTTATTATTGATATATATACGAATTATTGTAGCCAAAGTAAGTACCCACAGACCGGTTTGAAATCTAAGGTATTGTTTCGTCTTATATTGTTTCGTCTTCTTTATAATCCTATAAATGTCCAATGCTAGACGGGAACCTCACCCGTTGTGGGGAGAATTTGCCTTAATCATCATGCTTTGACAGATTGACGATCACAATAAAATACCCATTGCATGTCTGGCGTAAGCAAGATGGCCACACCGTCATCTATTTGAAACCCAAAAGATTTCTTTTATTTATTTATGGAAGTCATACAAACGTAATATTTTAGTAAAGTTACAAAGTGATAATAATAATTGCTGTTAATGAAAAACTCTCTGTTCATCAGTTTTCTTTGCGATTTAAAACTAGTAGAAAATAGGTCAATATTTAATACGGATTAAAGCTTATTAAATTCAATTGCGCTACGCAGAAAAAATTGTTTTATACTTTGTTACTATATACGTCTCATGGCTGGGCACAGTCCTATTATTTCTGAGAGGGTTTTAAGGCAAGGAAATGTCCGCTGCGCTGCCCCAATGCGTGTTGGCGAACTTCACATGTCTTCGAATTATTTTTTTCTTTTTTCTCAACCATGCAGGTGGTAATCACCACTTAAAATTTTAATTAACAATTTCATCGGTACCGGCGGGCATCGAAGCCGGGGTGCTCGCATACTTTGAAATTTATAGCAAGCGCTAAGTCTTTGAGCTACGACGGCTCTCTTCCTAACTAACTTTAACTGAATGCAGACTAGTTTGCAATCTTATACATAGGGGAATAGCCACGAAGTATATACCATCTAAATGTTCAGCTATAGTATTCTATGGAATTACAAAAAGAACTTAATGGAAAATACAACATAATTTTAATAAAGTAAAAAGGCAAAATCTATGCTGTATATAATTTTAAAAAGCTCTTTGTTTCTCATATCTAAAACGTTTATTAAAACTAAGCAAATATACAAAAGACCTGCGTTGGTGTTTTCATATATAAAATGTATATTTCCATAAAGATAATAATGAATAGAGAATAATGTTTAAAGGAAGGCTAAAAAAATGGTAAATTGCGTAATACGACATATGAAGAGTGACTAAAAATCATTACATGCCTCTGTCACAGAAGTAGTCTGTTTGAGACACAAAATACGTCAGAGAAGACACTGCTTACAAGTCTGTTATAAAACTGCTTAACGGAATGCCATGAAACATTTCGTTCTACTTACGTAACGTCTCTGTTGGCAACCAATGTCCTAAAAACTAACGGTACTCGAACGGGAATATCAGTATACGTTGTGGTAGGAAGAAATAATTAACTAAATAATAAATAATATCCACATTATTAACTTCCCAGTGGGAAGATATTTTACTGGGTCCGATTTAGAAAATTGGAAATTTTAACATATATCCACGTTTCAAGGTCTTTATAGTACACACGTATGTATGTTCGGATTCAATTTTTGCCTCGTGTATTTCGAGAACAAAGAGTGATACTGACATGAGACCAGTTTTATTTAACGCATAATTATGTAACTTAGATCTCAAAATCGGTCAAGTCGTTTTTTGTGCCGAATCAAAAAATGTATAAATTATTACAAAACATATGAAATTTTTTATTCTTTTCACTGGGAAGTTAGTCGTGTGGACCTTTCGGGTCGCACCTAGACCGCTTTTTTTAATAAATTGCACACATATCGGTTTTTAACTGCTAGTGTATAAATTCAATAGAAGTTTAGTATGATACTAGGTGTAACACATTTCTAGCAGTAAACTCAGTTACGGGGTAGTAAAAAAGAAGACGAAAGAAATTAAAAATATGCATGTTATAACAAGGCCATGTAAAACAAAATGTTAAAATAATCTTACTGCAATTTCTTTAGTTTTAATGATGTCTTCAGTTTCTGCTTCACTTCCATCGGGTTTGGTAACATCTACTTTAGGTTTCATTCCTGATATAGCTATAACCACATCCTTCGTTTTATCATCTACAGTGTACTGAAAGTGCAATAAAGATTGCGTTATAAAAGAGAACAAATTGTTTAATTAACTAATTATTTTTAAATCTATTTTATTTCGCTGCACGGCACATGTATTGTATGTCAGATTTAAGGCAGAGATCTAATATAAATACAAATAATTATTCCTTCTTAGTTCTGAGAGATTGATAAAACATATGCGATTGTAAATATACACATATCATTATAGGCTATAGCCTGTTCGAGCATTTCCCTTCAAACATCCCTTTAGAGTGTTTTGTATTGATTTATTTAATCTTCCCTTTTACGAATTTTCTTTAGCATGTAATTTTTTGGCCATACTAAAAGAGTAAAGTAAAGTAAAGTAAGTAAAATATACTTTATTGTACACCAAGGAACATATTACATTATTTATATATTTAAAGGGACATTGGTACAACAGGCGGCCTTATCGCTAAAACAGCGATCTCTTCCAGGCAACCTTAGGGCAGAGGATACTATTTTAAAAGATAGCGGAAGGGGTGTACAGAATATGATAAAGAAAGATAAATAGAAGAACATAAATGATTAAAGAAAAAAAAATGAATGACGACAGGTAGTAACTTAAGAGGAAAGGTAATAAAGTTTTAGAATTTATTTTTAAATATAGGAAGAATTTAGATTTAATATAGAAAGAGCTTGTTTGTATATTGCCAACATTACATTAATGCGTATTAATCTCTCTAAATCTATAGCCACATTGTTGTTTAAGTGTAGTAATGTAATACTGAAGATATCCCCATGTAAAGATGTTCAGGATCGTCTCAGCTATAACATATGATTTGACAGACCACGAACCCTCCTAAGAAAGCACCGATTTCTACCAAGAATGATTTGCGAAGCTACTGAAATTAAAACACGCCCTAAGTTCAATAGAGAAGATGATTGGTTGCTACCATCTGCTTGGAATCTCGTGATCAATTAAACTTAAATCCAATTCTTTAAGTGAATGATCATGCAATCCCGTTTAGCATTTAGTTGAAGGTAGACTTCGTTAACTACAACGTCTGAACGTCAAACATCTCAGCTCCCTCATTAGATTGCATAAAGCTAAAAAAGTTAAATAAACACGATAACATTTGTAAAATTATTTTTATTCAATTTGTGGGATTCGCGCAAATATAAGAAATCATTATATTAAAAGATAGTTAATTTATAAAACATAAACATAAACACCCACGCCTGTCACCCAGAGGGATATGCAGAGACTACGGACTTCCATTTGGCACTATCCTGACATACCTCTTTCGCCTCCTTTACATCCAACGTATATACCTACGCATACATGTTAAGGGTACTTCTAACAAGGCCCATTTTCAAAATATCGCCAATTTGGTCGATACTTTCTTCTAGGGCGTCCCTTCCCGACTCTGCCCTACACATCTGTCATATAAATTTGCTTTGTCACTCTTTCCTCATTCATTCTTTCTACATGACCAAACCACCGAAGCATTCCTTTCTTAATCCTGGTCACAACATCATCTTGCTTACCACATTTATCTGAGTTATTTATTTGAGTTAATTTATTCATCATTTATTTAAGTTAATTTATGATGTTATAATTATGGAATTTTATTTTTTTGTATTTGTATTAATTTTAAAACAAAATTTGTTAAAAATTACTTCATTAGACTGGCTTGAATTGGGTTAACCTTAGTAAAATTAATAAACTTAATATTATCCAATTTGAATTAATTTCCTTTAAATGACATCCATGTGGTTTTTGGGTCATCCATGTGGTTCCGATAAAACATTAAGCAAAACGAACGTTTAAATTACACACAAAAACCATGCATGACTTCCATCTTATTTAGAGGTTGACTTTGAGGAGGTTGGCCTTCAGTAGTAGTAAGCTTTCAACTGAGCTTTCAACAGTACCATACAATATAATGAAAGATAGTAGCTGCAAGTACCTGCTGCAAAGTTGTTCAAACTTGAATAAGAAATAATAAAAGGTGCTCACGTTAAAAGTATTTCCGTAGCCAGGTGGGAATTTCTTTGACGCTAATTCGGTTTTTTGACTTTTCACCGTCTCAGCTACGTAGTCTAATATCTGCAAAAAAGAAATATGTGTGAACCTTTAGGTTCCATGACATTTTTTAATTTTTTATGATGTATCATTCCACTTCCAACATATCTTACCAGGTTATATATCATCATCATTACGTCCCGTTACAAGTCTATCGCTAAACATAGACCTACACAAAGGAACGCCAAAAAGCACGGTCTTGAGACCTGTATCAATCTCACTGTGTTAACCTCACATCTCCTACTATGCCATTACTCAGCATACTGAGAATAATCCTGTTTTAAGGTGTTAAGGGATGCTCATAGCATGATTCCTAAGGTTGGGTAATAAATTACAAGAAGCTTATTGGGTTTTAGTTCTACCACAATGACAGATACGCGCTAATTTATTATGGCGTGTAATTGTGTAATTTTTCACTGCGCGTGTAACGGAGTGTTAAGAAAAGCAAAAATCTAGTTAAGAAATTGTTTCTAATCTTGGGATAATAGAGTATTTTTTTTATAAAATCGGTACGAAGCACGATGCAAATGACATATTATTCATATATCTGAAGAATACTTTCTGAATCTCATATTTTTGATGAGTGCTATCTTATTCCTCCAAGATGGCAAAATATCATGAGTATTATTCGTGTAGTGATAGTTGCAAATGTTCATACGCTGCACTAGCTTATTCACTTTACCGTCAGTTGGATTGCTAGCACGTTTCAGACTCAAATTTAAAAGGTAATATATATTATATGCAATGAAATTTTGTCACCATATGCAACTTCTTACGCCTACAAGTCTATTAAGCATTTAGAACTGTTGAATTGAAAATAAACGATTATTCAATTAAGACAATATACCTTTCTAACTTCATTTTTCTCTAAATGAAATACTTGTCCTGAAGTCGCATCAGCCAACTCATAATACACACGATAAGCGGGATCACTCTCACTTCCACAGATTCCGGTCAGTACGAAAATTATCTGTGAACATATTGCATTAATATTAAATGCCGTGTAATGACTTGGTTTAGTGGATGTCACTTAGGTCATCTAAAGAAGAATATGGTCATCACTGGCAACATATACTCGCTGATTAATCTTGTTCTCAAGTTTTGAGATGCAGCTGACGAGAAGGGGTGAATTAATCTCCCGTGCGGTGCCTAGGCGAATTAAATATGTCGATTGATCACTTGTTCGAAGTTGGACTTACCTAGTCAGACTATTTATTCTAGATAACATACTCATCGACAATTTCGAGTATAGTGGTTCCAATAAAACTACCGGTGTAAGTATCACATGGACGTTACAAATGACCGTTGCTGTAAGACATACTGTTGGCAACCACAGTCTTTGTATAACAATTTTGCTGTCATGAGAAAGATTTTTCTGTCCACCTCCTGTTTTTCCCGACTGTCGCCTCTTACGCCACCACCACAAGTTGGTTGATGAACTGAGTTAAAGAGGAGATATTTGCCACCGTTGTCATGCTTTGCAGGCGGGTTGGCAACCGCAGTTTATTTTATTATTTTGAGTTGTCATTAGGAGTATACTACTTCTCATCTCCTGTTTCAGTTTCGCATCGCAATTGTCTCTTACGACAGTCACGGAATGAAATGGGTTTATGTATTTTCTAACGCTTTCACAAATTTATATTTTTTTACAGAATAAGGGCAACAAGCGCGCACACAGTCCACCTTAAGTTTAAGTGGATGCTTTGGCCTATAGACATCAACATTTATCTTCAATTAGGAATCAAAATGCAGACGCAATGTCTCCCCTGAAGACTGAGATGAAATACCTCGTTTCCAGTAAAAAGGATCTCCAGTTCTCTACACTCACCATCTGAAACACAGCAGCATTTACGCTGGTATTCTGTGAGAGCGTGGTCCTACCCAGGTCAAGCCGACCCATTTATGATGCAACCACAACATATCTGCAGCATGGTTCTACTACGTAAATATGTTGAAAAGCAGCTAAATAATATGACGAAAAAATGTAAAACATGGTCATATTGTTGCAATTGATGTTTCTGTACCTTATACTTGCCATATAGTTAACGAATTATTGTGGCCCAACAGCTGTGATAGCACAGGGTCTAAGCCCTTGCCATAAATTTCACAGTAGGGGAGAAACCTGGGCTTAATCCCCCCTGACACCAAGTTAAGGTTTGAATTACAATTTTCAACTGTTGATTTATCACGTGCTAAGCAGTAAGGGGAGACATCGCAAGAAAACCTACATTTTAAGCTGTGATTATATACCTGTCTAGATGCCACATTGTCTACACCGAACGGTCCAAATAAAGTCTACTGTAATTGGTAGACTCGCTTCCCACCTACGTCAGTGTAATTTGAATCACTTAGGGATAACGTGGTCACGAAAAATAATTAATTATGCCAGTTTGTGCTGTTAAATTATGTCGCAATTATTTGAGAAAACCGGATAATAACACCAGGATCACTTTTCATTCATTCGTTTTGTTATTTTACCTGTAGTATTTTATGAAAACACGATTTTTTAATTCGTTACTTTGTAGATTAGTCTGATTATCCGGTGTTGTCAGTTTATTACTAGAGAGTTTTGTCGAAACTATGGGAGACAAAATAAAAATATTATTATATCATCTTTCGATCAGGAGAATATAATTATTTCAAAATTACTTTAGTAATTTGATCAGTAAATGATAACTTATACACAAAATAAATGAAACCCATGACGTCATGCACTAAATAGTTTTTTTGTTAGTTTTTTCAAATATTTTTATATTTTTAAATAAAATAAATAAAACTAATCTACATAATAATTACTTTATTAAACCTATTTTGTTTAACTTTAATCTGATTGAACAAGTACCTAGGTGGATTGAAAAGTACTCGGCCTAACACAGATCCATTCAATTCTAAAAATCAAATCTACGCACATTATTTAGTTCAGTTCAGACTAGTTCATTGTGTGAAGTTCGAAACGTGTGCGATAATTAGTTGTGATTTTATAAATTTATTAACAAAGTAATCGGACATAATTTCCGCGAATGGAGCAAATCGAGCAGCGTGCCGTCATTAAGTACCTCCATAAGAAGGGGCTATCATCAAAAGCCATCCATGATGACATGGTCAGTACATTAGGCGATTGTGCTCTGTCATATTCATCCGTCAAAAAATGGATAGCAGAATTTAAGCGTGGTAGAGAGAGTGTGAAAGATGAACCCCGCTCTGGAAGGCCTTCGACGTCAACTACTGAAGAAAATATTAAAAAAGTACTTGATTTAATAATGGGAGACCGCAGATTAAAAATTAGAGAGATAGCCGAGATTATAGGCATCTCTTATGAATGAACTCAAAACATCATTGTCAACAAGTTGGGTTTCCACAAGGTGTCTGCGAGGTGGTTTCCGCGACTGCTTTCAGTTGAACAAAAAAGGACGCGATTGACTATTTCATGCGACTGTTTGGAGTTATTTGAAGCCGATGCAGATGATTTTTTGAATCGTTTTGATACTATGGACGAAACATGGTTTCATTACTGTACACCGGAAACAAAACTACAATCAAAACAGTGGAGAAGACCTGGTTCACCACCCCCTAAAAAAGGCTAAGTCGATTTTGTCGGCAAATAAGGCGATGGCTTCAGTATTCTGGGACTCGAAAGGTGTGATTATGATTGATTATCTTGAAAGGGGTCAGACTATAAACTCTGATTACTACTGCACCTTACTACGTCGTTTACGAGAGGAAATAAAAGAAAAACGTCGAGGAATGCTCAGAAGAAAAGTCCTGTTTCATCAAGATAACGCCCGTGTTCACACGTCAGTACAGTCAATGGCTGAAATTCACAATTGTGGCTTTGAACTGTTACCGCATCCGCCGTATTCACCTGATCTGGCACCATCAGACTTCTTTCTGTTCCCTAACCTAAAAGAGCACTTGGGAGGTCAAAGATTTTCGACAAACGACGAGGTCAAAGCAGCTGTAGACGCATATTTTGACTCTAAGGAAGAATAATTTTTTTTTCAACGGTCTAAATGCTTGGAAGGGGAGGTGGCAAAAGTGTATTGAACTTGATGGTGATTATGTAGAAAAATAAAAATATAACTGATATAGTATGTGTTTATTTTCTTGGTTAGGCCGAGTACTTTTCAATCCACCCTCGTATATAATCAAAGCCTCGGCCGTTTGGTCTCCTCTGGCGAGGTCTCCCATCTGGTTGGATTTTATTTATTTATGCATTTTATTTTATTTTATTGATATGTATGTGTAAATATACAACAGATTCAGTGAATCTGAATGACAGGGTGAAAAAATGTGTGATAAGAGAAGAGTGTGGTTTGCAATATGATGTTGTGACCAGGATTAAGAAAGGAATGTTTCGATGGTTTGGTCATGTGGAAAGAATGAATGAGGAAAGAGTGACAAAAAAATTTATGATGCAGAAGTGAATGGCAGAGTCGGAAAGGGACGCCCTAGGTGAAAATTTATCGACCAAGTTAGCGATTTATTAAAAACGGGCCAAATTAGGAGTACCTTTAACCGACGAGCATGTATGTGTAGGTATATGGATGTGAAGGAGGCGAGAGAGGTGTGTCAGGATCGTGCCAAATAGAAGTCTGTAGTCTCTGCCTACCCCTCTGGGTGACAGGCGTGAGTATTTATGTTATGTTATTATGTGTATTTATCATTTTCATTTATATATTTATAAAAATATAACTAAAACTACATAAATACCAAAAATAACATGCTACATTAAAGATGACAAATAGTTTTACATAGTCCACATGTTAACCATATTTTACACGTCAAATAACTAGCGGTTAGTTATTAGTAGGGCTAGTTGCCACGGTTAAGATCAGCTCAGTGTATTTTTGTTATTAAAATTATAAAACAGCTCGGATAAACTAAAATATTAATTTAGTACAAAGTAAAAACCTTAATAGTTGTGTGCAAGTGTTATATCGTCTTTTCATTCACGAAAAGTGCAGGAAATAACGAAAAATAACGTTTGTTGACACTATAAATAATATTAATTGATGTGTTAATACAAGTTAACAAATAATAAAGTTCAGTGTTAATAACATTTAAACCTAAGTGCAATAATAAATTACTATATAAATTAAGTGTATTTTGCAAAACATTTTATCGTGTGAAATTTGAAGGTTGTTGTAAAAACTTTTAGTTCCGATTTGAATCAATGTCGTTGATCTCATCTACAAGATTATAAATAACACCATCTATGCGTTTATGCTTATATTAATGACAAATTATGGTTCTCTAACATCGGTACTAATAATTGCAATCCTTGATACTTACATCGATCGAGTTTCCGTGCCACCAAAAGGTTGGAGCTCTTTGTGCTTGGGGTGTACAATAATAATATTACAAACTACAACTTTATAAAAATGAATTGCGCTGGTTGTGATACAATCTGCAAGCCAGGGGCGCGGCTGAATTGTCATGCCTGCGAAGGAATCTACCACAATGAATGCCTTAATATTAAGCAGCAACAATATTCTTTACTGTCACTGTCAGTAACAGAAGAATTTAAGGCAACCTGGAAACGTCCCTCGTGCAATAATGTTACCCGTCGTGGACGATCCAACTTGCTTAAGCCCGTGCGATCCATGCAAATACCTTTGGATGATAACATGAATATGTCATATGAAATCGAGGGCCAAGCATCCATCTCATCATACAATCCTTGTACTCCGATTACACCAGCTGCTTCAGTTCGTGACTGTGTTGCCCTGGAGACGGGTGCTACCTTCCATACATTCACACAGGAACTTCATAAGACCTTTAAGAAATGGCGAAGCGACATGAAAAATACACTAACTGTATTCAAGGAGAATATTAAGAGCTCACTACATGACTGGCGAGATGAGATGGAGGCGAGTATAACTAAACTTAATGATGATTTAAAATTTGCTTTGAATGGATTCAGGGAGGAGGTATGCACCCTTCGTGCTGAACATGAGCGTCTAAAGCATC